AAACATCAAGCTTCCTCGGTCGAAAATAAAAAGCAAACAAGTGCTGTCCATTAAACTAGAATTCTCATTTTACCGCAAACCTTGGCTGTTTTTTTTTTTTTGAATATCACATTTCTACGGTAACATCGCATTACGCTCGAACGCCAGATTTATTTTTAATTAGAAAAGAATCTAGCAAGCAGGGGCAAACGTTGCAACGTTTTACAACATTCTCTCTAAAATGTTTTCTCCTATTTCTGCAAGATTAAACAAGCAGAACACAGTTGTTGAAAAGGTCTCGTTTGCTTGCGTCTCTGAATTTCGCTCAAAAATCGTTTCATTTTCCTTTCCCTTGAATTGCAATCAGCAATGTTATCCTCCCTCTCTTTCCTTTTTAATTCTATCGAAGAAATTAAATTTTGCAACGGAAAATCAACATTTTGCTCGGTAAAAAGGTCATTGTAATAACAACACAAAATCAGGTGGTCCTACGTTGCAAATATAAAGAAAAATTTCACTATAATTTTATAACTAATTAATTTCGCTCTTTGTAGATTTTAGCTCTCCAGAAAGAGCCGAAACGTTACGTTCAAAGATAAATGAGTTCAATTTTATTTTTCATCAACTTTCATGAAGAGGACAGTTCTTCCTTTGATTACGATTAATTTTATTTTCAGGCAAAGGAAAATAATTATTGTATCAAAGGCACAACGTAATTAGGAAATCAAAAAGAAATAATAACTTTGACTTACTCCTTCGTATGGAATGACTTTTGAAGTTGTATCGCCAATTTTGAAGGAACCCGTACACTCGTTAACCCACTTTAACCCATCGCGCTCGTTTAAGAACATTTCGTTAAAAATTTCTTTATTACGTTTCGCTAAGTGCATAAAGCAAACTAACCCGAGTGCAGTTAATTATACCGACCAGGGATTTTAGGAGGTAAAATAACAAATTAATATAATAGAGATAGGTGAAACGAGGGATGATGGGTTTAATGTTGGAAACTCTAAAAACAGTTTGTACCAGGTACGAAATTACGGTGAACGAGATAGAACGGCAGACGTATATAAATTGGGACGGTGGAAACCGAACTCGAAACAAATTACGCGAGATTAACGAACATTTCGCTTAGAGTTCCCGCGCGACCAGCACGTATCCGGAACAGCAAGATCACGTTCCGGCCAGGACGAAAGAGCTCGAACCGTTGCCTCTGACAGCCACATATTTTCCACTGTCTCTCTACACCCGCAGCGTTAACAGGATCCACCGTGTCCTACACCTAACCCATGTCTGCGGTTTTCGCGGTAAAATTCGCCAGTTCGAATGGTCGGCTCGCGTCGTGTCGCCCGCTGCCTTCCAAGTAATTGTAAATCGAACATCTTCCCTCGGAATTTACCTCTGAATTTCCTCATTAACTACAACTGCGGGATGTTGAAATTTCATTTGATTTTACGTCGTTCGACAATTATGATAAGATTGATCGAGACTTATGGAATTTCCTGAATCGTTGACACAATTTTCAATGGTGCAGGAATCCTTGTATCGAGAAGCCGATGGAGCACCATTAACCGACTATGGATTTATGCGAGCAGAGTGTTGCGTTATTGCATGTGTGCCGTGATCGAGGGATCTCGTTATCTTGTTGAACAACACGCTCGTGTACCTTGCCATTTAGCGCCTAATTTCAAACACTCGGTGCTGTAACATTCGTTACACCACCTGCCGAATCGATACCTCATACGCGTTAAAACATCAATCTTTTTTGAAAACTGTGAACACCGATTAGTCCCCGAATTCCTAATCTTATCGTTAATTAGTAAAGGTTCTATCTTCGCGTACCGATCGAAACATACGTGTACATAGTCAGGGTAGAAGACAATTTATCAAGCTTTTAACGATCCATTTGTAACCCTCGCATAGCTGTTAGCAGGGTGAATGGATCAAGTGTTAACGCAACTGCTATTACCAGTCTGCTTTCCCGACCACCACATCCTTTCTCTGCTCAACATCCATCTCTTCACTCGTAATTGTCAAAATTCACCGCGCTCCCGTGCTTTTCAGATAAATCTAGCCTAGCTGACGTGACCGAGATTTCACCGAGTGGAAAAAAATTTCCATTACACCTGCGAAAAACTTTGCTCCGCGAACCCGACGATTCGACTAGAGGGGGGAAATAAAAAAAAAATAAAAAACGACAGTACCTCGAGATAGATAACGTTAGAATCGTTGGGAGTTTTTTTCACCGCATTAAACTGTTTTAATCCCTTCGCGGGATGAGACAGGGAAATTACACAACGAGAGAAGAGTCGTATCGCGGGGGTAAAATGAAACGAAGCGTAACGTTGCCAGGGTTAGAGGAGGAGACCGCGGAAACCGCAGCAACACTCGGCACGCGTTACCAATGATTATGGCAGGGAACTGCGGACGAGGCCAGAAAACGGGAAACGGACAACGGAAAATATAAGGGCTGTCAGTGGCAAACGTTTTAGCCTCGGCCGCACGTGGCTGGCTACCCTATGAAACGCAAGATCCGCCCTTTATTCCACCGTTAGCAGGACCAATGTAAGAAATAACCTTCCGCTCTGCGGAGCGGTATGATTAACTTTGGAATGAACGCCCGCTGGCTGGAACTAATGCCTTTGTATTTGCCGTTATTCAACGAGCTTATACGTCTGTCTGTTTCATCGCGTTTCGCGGTAATGTCATCTTGTTCTATTTCAATTTATCCTATTGCTTGATATTCAGCGGTTTCTCATTCGGCTTCTCGCGTAAACGATAAACCCGCAGATCGGCGAGAAAATGAAACAAGTTTAAAAAGAATGAAAAAAAGAATGGCCACTATTTAAACAGAAGCTTGATGAATCGCGTTCTTTTCTCTCGCGGATCGAGTTAAACGCGGAAGCTCGGCTGAAATATCGCTTGAAATTACGAACGATGGTAAATCTCTGGCCGGCTAATTGTTTCAGAATCCAGCGTACTGTAACGCTTTTCTACAACGCGAAAAGATTAACGAAATTCATTTTTCTTCGGCTAAGAGAGAAAGCTCTGCCGTCGAGTGGGTTAAACGTAAAGCTGCCTTAGTCGTTCATAAAAGGAATGGAAGCTGATACAAAAGGGGGATACACGAACCTAGCTGGTCTCGCGTGATCGTAAGGATTCCTAGTAACAAGTCTACGTTTCCTTCGAACGTTCGAACTTACAGGTACGAGCAACTTTATCTACTAATCGTACGGTTTAACGACCAACCGTGTAATTACTCCTGCGATTCGAACGTTTCACGATCTCGTTAAACCTCTGATAACAACAACCCACCCAGTCGCGATACTATTCTTGCCAGTGTATTTCATCAACCGTGTAATTGCGTTCGTTAGAAAGGCGTTAATTTCATTTGAAATCTACCAATTAACCACTTTGATAAAAAATGATCTTTTAACTATCACCGTGATAAATGATACGATCTCTGTATAATACAGTTGTCCGATATTCTGCAAATTGAACAGTTCGTCTAGCTTCGGCTGTACGAAGTGCGCATTCAATATAACCAAAGGATGGAGAGTAAACGATCATAAATCACTAGGAAGTTCGAACGTATCATACATAGATTCAGCAGGGACGAGTAGCCAGATGCAATTGCGTTTGTTTTCCGTTTTCGAGATTGAAACTCGCTTCGACGAATTTCCGGTTAACAATAAGATGTATGACCAGCAATACGTATCTATCTAGAGGGTTTTGATTGATCGAACATTAAAATGTTAGCAAATAAACGGAGGATGGCGGAGTAAATAGTAGGTTGACCTGGCAGAATGAACGATGCCTGGAATAGGTTAGCCGAGCAGAGCCTAGCAGAGCCTAGCACTGCCATATGCTACCAGCTTGTATTTCGTATAATAGCTACACATATTTAGCGAAATCTCGTGCAACGGCCTGGCCGCGACTATGTTCCATTTCTAGCGGTAACAACGAGAATTTAGACCCCCGTGCCTCCTGGAAATTTGAACGACACCAAGACACGACCTGACCCGACACCTCGACCCAATTTAAGGGCCGCTCTAAACTACCACTGCATTTCTAATTCCGTTGCTTCCTATCGCTTAATATCGTTGCTCGTTTATCCTTGAAGATAATCGCGTAGGAAAAGGCATAATGACGAGAAATAAAATAACCGAAGAGGTTCGCAAATATCCAGCCATAGTTGGTGGTCAAATAAATTAAGATGCCGTTTTATGGACGCGATATCGACGTCCGGATGCGCATAAGAACAATGTCCGATCAGGGTAATTAGCCTGGGAATTTATTGCTTGGAATACTGGGTAACGGCGACGCGCAGGAGAAATAGAGGGAGGGCAAACAGAACGTGATAATTTATTCGGTGGAACGCGAGAGAACCGAGTGGCCTGGGTTAGTCCAGCAATAATGACGCTTCGAGATCGATTCTATCCTCCTCTATTCAAACATTTACGATTTTATGATTGAATTTGCACGCTCGTACGCGAGACACCAGAGTTTCGTCGATTTGCGCGATCACGACGAACGGACGCCATCACGAATATATTACCGGTCCATCGTGTCCGATCAAATTTCGATCGATCCTGTCCCCACATTCATTAACGTGAATCTTGCTCGAAGGAAACGAACAAAGAACAAAAAGCTTATCTTCGTTCTATGCCCGGATTCGCGTTAAATGTTCGAAACGCAACTCGAAGACGACAATTAATTTATCGTTAACGTAGTTGGCTGGCGCTTTATCGTTTCGCTGAGTACGACACGATTTGCTCGTACCCCGTAATCTTTATTGGCTTCGCTTTTATACCGTCAGCTCTTTGCGACTAGAGCGTGTATCAACCCTTTCTTGCACGAGAAGCTAATTTCATCTCGAGTTTTGTCTCTTTAAACCAGCTGACAACATTTCGACCTAACGCGACAACTTTTTCTACCGTTCAAAGCAAATAACTTCCGTTCCAGAGAGTTTTCGCGCGGAAGTAAATAGGAGAAAATACAGTGATATGATATTTACTCACCGGCAGATGTTAGTCGGTAACTTTCAGCCTGGAACCAGGACATAATTCCGCACGGATTTCACTCTGTTCGTCCAATCTCTACGGCAAACAGAAAACTACATTGTTAATAAATGTTTAAATTTTCATAATATATCGTGCAATAGTCTTAAATATTATTGCAAAACAGCGTAGTATAGTTATCTCCTTAAAGCACAAGTTCAATAGAACGCCATTCTAAACGTATCGAAACCAACGAGAGTAGTACACTCAATTATCCCGCGTATCGTTTCCACCCACTCACCCTTTGGATTACCATTTAAAGCCCGTCTGTTCCAACCGTTCTCTGTCGGGAGCAGCTAAAACATCGGTTGAGCTTCCACAGAGACGAGAGGATTACGCATGTATATCCACGTGCATAAATATCTTTGCTCGTTTAAGGAGAAACCTCCCACTAATTTCACCCTACGCGAGTCGAACCGAACCGAGCCGAGATCGGTACTTTTACCTATCACCACGCGAGACTATCTATCCAGCCGAGTGTACATATCTGTTTTCCATCCAACGAGCTTGTTACGCGAAATTTTTCGCTTTGTTAACGTATACAGCTGGCTTCTTTTATCCTCGACACAATCGATTGCACGACTTCGAGAAGGATGCTAGTTTAACCAACGACAGACTCGAAGAAAACGACAAAAGAGCAGATTAGTTGCGTGTACCCAGCGTTCACGTGCGCCCACGCATGAAATCTTTTCTTTTCTCTTCGTTTCGAGGACGATGTTTCATTTTCTCGTAACAGTTACTTCTTCCCTCGTTATTCTTTCCTCTGTCTGTTTTGTTATTAACCTGCGTCGACCAGAGTATTTTTACCTCATTTTATTATTATTCCCAGAGAGAAGTTTAGCGTATTCTTCAACTTATGATTTTCAACGACTGATTTTCATAGGAGTCAACGTGTCCTCGATCTCGATTAACAAAGGCTGTTCGGAATTGATTTACGACTGGATGAACTTTGTACGAACCTGCCAGATGGATCGAACGATTCTCCGATGCTTGGTCGATTCGTTTGTTCTCGATACGGGCGACTCTGTAACGCTACGGTCACTAATTAGACGACTGGTTCTGATACATTCTTTCACGGTACATCCTAGAAACCTTAATTAGATCCTACCTCCCTTCGTGTAAGACAAATCGTTAAACGCAACTATCCTAAACCATAAGCTCTGATAAAAATCTGAACATTGTGAAAAGATAAAAGAACCTCTGCCTTTTCTTTCCAGCTACTCCGGGAAAAATAAAACGATTTCGTTAATCATTCAACGAGAACAGAAATGTCTTGCTACTTTGTGGGCCCGTTTGAAACCGGTCTGGTCGTCTTGAAACGATAAAATGCAACATTTATAATGAACCAGAGGTTTTTCTGTTACGCATTCAGTGCACGTATCCCTTCTTCCACAGATTTCTGACTGCTTGATTTCGAGGGGAGACAGCTGGATAATTCAGCGCGTCCTGCTGTTCGCAGGGATCGTTTTCGTCGACGAGGAGGAACGTTTTACCGTGATGGGAACAGGGTCGAGCACAAGGCAGGAAAACAGGCGAAATTGACTTTAATAGCAGAGACAAGGAGGAATTGGAGTCGGACGATCGTAAGAGAACGTCTTTCCAGAAACTCTTCTTCTTCTTCTCGAATGCTTCTGCTTGTATATTTCTATCCCTGTAACGATTCCAGCCAGAAATAGAGCAGCAGCTTTAGTTGACCGACTTTAGAGTCCCTCTTTTCTTCTTCCTTTTGTCACGACAACTTGTCACGCCAAGATTTCCGTGAAATCTGCTTTAAAGACGTGAATTAAGTCCTCGTCGCAAGATCCGTGCTATCTTTTATAATGTATCTTTCGTCCGACTTTACTAACGGTGAAATTAGACATTTGTCGCTTCGATGTTGACATAGATAAGAAGGAAATCCGAATATCCTGCGCGAGTAGCGATCGAAATAAAAATGGTAACTATTTGTTTTGCAAGTTTATGGAAAGAGCGATTCAATCAAGATCCCTAGCTGGAATAGTTGGGTCGAGAAACAAACCCGGTTCATCCGTTTAACCAATTTTTCCTCGACAACTTTCATGCTTGAATTATTCAGTCGCTTCCCTCCGAATCACGCGGTCAGGAAACTCGAATGTGAGAGACACGTAGAGGAGACACAGTCAGCGGAACATTATAAATTCTCTTGGCGATGAAGAGTATTATGCCGGATAAGAACATCAGGATGGACCGAGTATCCCGGATGGAATTACAAAGTTGGGTAACATCTGCAGTTTCAGAAATTTTAAGATACCAGCTGCTAGCTTTTTTTCAACATTATTAAACAAAGGAAAAATGATTCGTGTACAGAGAAGAATCCATGATTTACCACAGTGGAAAAAATAAAAGAAATTTATAGACTCCAATAAAAAGTTGGAAAGAAAAAGTCAGAGTACGAATATTTACGTCCGAATTTGTATTAACTTTTATTTGTTTCGCGTAGGATGTCGCTTCAAGGATAAATACAAGTAACGCGTCGGATAATTCCGATTTATAGTCTTGTTGCCGCGAGCGTCTGACCTTGTTTCAAGAACGACAAATAGTTTCGGTCAGACTGGAGAGCAGAGTTTGTCGTCTGACTTTTATTTCCGCCCGTTTACTTGTTTGTGCCTACCAACAGCGTCGTTCTTTTTCAAAAATTCATCGACAAACATCATGAATTTCGAAAAAGAACCAGGACAACACTGACACCGTACCTCGGATCCATACGTACAGATACGTCTTCCCTTTTTTTTTTTTTCCCCTTCTCTTTTCATTGAAATACAGACGCCAGTAAATCAGCCGCGTTCCAAAGCAAAAGCTATTCGTTGCTTTCTCCTCGAGAACGGAATATCGAGTACCTTTATTGTTACGGTATTGCTTTTACACTGACTTTCGAAGGAGATACAGCTTTCGCATACTCGCTTCAAACTCCATGGATTCGATCTTTTCGCAGTCGAAAATACTGTTTCGACTCTCGATACTTTTAAATTTAAATTTATGGACAAACGTAACCTTTAATATCCGACGATATCTCTCGCTTGGAAATTTGAAAAGGTTGCCCTTTCAACGCGACTGTTGCGCGAGAAATAGATTCTTTTCTTTTCTTTTCTTTTCTTTTTTTTTACGATAATACACCGTCAATCGATTCATGAAAACCGCAAGCTCGTAACTCGTAGTAGTAAAAAGCATTTTACAACCTAGAAGAAAAGGAAAATAAGGGATGATGGCTTGTCTTCGAATACCGTCAGCTTCGCTTCGGGATCGATCAGAGATTTCATCGTGTATCTTTCGACGTATCGTACAGCAACGTTCAGCCATGGAATCCGATTACGTCGCTGTCGCTAGAAACTTATCTACTTCGAGTGTTGCTCGAAAAGTTCGATTGCTTTCTTGCCTCGCGAATCAATAGGACTTTACATAACTTAGCCAGAAATGATGTTTAGAAAGCTCGACTCGAACGTTGTTATTCGAACGATCGAGAGTAATGGAACGCGTATCTAAATTTCGATGGGAAACGCTGGGTGAGCCAACAAGATCTTGAATTTTCAAATTCATCTATTCAAACGTAGAGGATATCTATTTCGCTATGAATATCCGTGATCTTAATAGAAGGAGAAATCGACGGAAGACGAAAGCAATTAGCGGTAGTTAAGTAGCAAATGATACCGAGATCACCGACGATGTCTGACACGAAAGGTTCGCATCTACTTACGAGCAAAGAGTCAACTTGCTCGTCGACTTTGAAGATAATTGCACGTCGTTCAAACGTCAACGGGGATGGAAAAGTCTACGAAATAATGCGTTTCCAGGCAAACGACCCTCGCTGAAAGATACACTGTACAATTACTCCGAAGAAGAGAATACAGATGGGAAGCTTAAGAGGGGAATAATAAAGAAGAGGAGAAGATGACATACAGAGAGACAAACAGATAAAAGAGTACAGGGAAGGAACGCAGCGAGAACAATCAACTGAAGGCGAGCGCTGTGCATTTCAATTTCAACGTTTAATCTCGCCGAGTTGGAACACTCAATATCCTTGCCTTCGGCCATTGCTTCGGCAAATACACTGAGAGATCGGTTCCTGTAATAGCCTGTACTTTCCATCTTCCTTCGCGTCTACCTTGTGAAACACTTGAACGATGTTTCAATAATAATCTTTATCTCACATTTAATTTTCTATCAAGAAATAAGTTACAGAGATGGCATTTTACATAGGTAGTCGAGTCTTTCACTCGGAATAGGTAAGAGTTAATTAACGATCGGCCAAGTAAAAAGTAGCCCGAGTTGGAGCATTTGGACCGCAAAGCGAAACGCTGAAATATCCAGACCGCTAGCCGAGAATTAATGACGAGACTCGGGCGACTTTAGCGTTAACAACGAGCCTCGAATGAAATACTGGCCAGCTCGAACCACCGGGAATTTTGCTGTTCGCACGTGCACATACTGCTCCCTCGGACAGATTTTACGTCCGCAAAAATCCATGTACTCGTCGTACGGGTGAGAGAGGGAGATATTGCTCGTTTCTCTGCTTTCACACGGGCAAATTTACGAACAGGATCGACGAACGAATGATATGTTGGACGTTTGACGTGGCGTTCAACTTTTTGGCAACAAATGGTACGATAATCGCTGGGTCAAACGTGGCCCAGCAATAAAAATTTCACTAAACGTATTCATAAACAGACTTTCGATTCATGGAGAATTTCATTCCAACGTTTAAGCTTGGAATATCTCATTTTTCTGTCATTAAAAAGGATCATAACGAAAGAAGTTAATTTGACATTCCTATACCAAAGTTCATAATGTATAATGAATTTTTCAAAGCCCGTTTCATTTGCTTTGCGCTGGCAAATTAATATTGTAAAAGAATATTGAATTTAAATGAGAGTAATATGACGAATTGGGTTAATAAAGGATATTAATGAGAAAATTGTGTAAAATTGAATTACTCTGAATTATTGCATCGAATAATACTTTGAATATTTCCTGAGCTTTTTTGAACTTATAATTGCAATCGTATAAAAATGTATCATTTCTAAAAA